TAAATCTTGAATTCACTTATGTATACACTTGTCAACACATAAAAGACCGGACCCTTAAATAAAGAGCAACAAATTTTCCCTTTTTTTGGCTTAATACATAGACGCCCCCTTCAAACTTGCCCGATTTTTTTTCATTTAGACCTGAACTAAGGATTATACCCGACCTTCATTGTTACTAATTTGTATGATTACAAACTTTGTAGGTATTTGCTTTGCTTCTGAGGCCAAAGCCAGACCACAAGTACAGATTATACTGGAACATCTACCACCATGCTGTTGGATACGCGGTAATAAGTCTGGCCATCACCAATGTTTTCCAAGGATTTGATGCATTGAATGGACAGAAGAATTGGAAGAGGGCTTACACTGGTGTGATCATAGCCATAGGTGCCATTGCTGTTTTATTAGAAGCCTTTACTTGGTTCATTGTCATCAAAAGGAAAAAAACAGACTCTAACAAGCACACACAAAATGGAACAAATGGTACTGTTAATCCTTATGGAAATGGGACTCATCAACAGGCATAAGTTAACTTAAATAATGTCACTTTGAACATTTTTGTATGTTTATATGTTTTTTGTTGTTTGGTCAGATTTTGGTTCTTTTTTTCCTTCTTTTTAATCTTTGCAGATTGATATATATTCTTGTATACATCATATATGTTGAGAGACCACCTATTTGTGGTTTTATTTATTACTACTAGTATCCTTTTTTCATTCACTTTCAATGTTTGAATTTAATTTCTGTACACTAGCAATATAACTTGCGAGAAGAGTAACTACTTGAGACATGCTCAAGTTAATAGCTTCGAAATATATAATAATAATAATAATAACCTACTATAACTATTTAAAGTTATTCGATAGTGTAAATTTTTTGATTATTCGATAGTATAATTTTTTTGTCACAAAAGTCCCGAAAACAGCCTCTAGCAGAAAAGTAAGATAAGACTGCATACAATAGGCCCTTATGGTTGGGCCCTTTATCGGGCTGCCTTTTCGTCATAAGCAATCCACAAAAAAAAAGGTTAAAAGAATTAATAGTTTGCCAAGTGGCATATTGTCATCAGGTTAGAATAAGAGCAACTTTCACATATAACAAATATAACAATCACATTTGTATGTTATAGCTATAGTTTGCATAATTGCGCTCCATAGCAAACATAAAGTTTGTTATGACTATTAATATGTATATTTCGCTATACATATACAAAAGAAGCAATTGTATAATCTGTTTCGGTATACATATACAAAAGAATCAATCGTATAATTTGTGTTAGTATAAAGTAAGAAAGAGAGAAAGACAAAAGAAAACTGGGCAGGGGAAGATCGTATTTGTATAATCATCATAAGTGTATAGGAAGAAAATATATGTATTTGTGTTTATATATACAATTTTCTCTCGCTTTATACAAAAACAAACGCAATGTATACATTTGTGTTTGTATAAAGTGAGAGAGGCGAGTGAGATCGGGGAGAGTGACGAGCGAGATCTGAGAGAGTGGCGAGCAAGATCTGGGAGAGGGGAGAGAGGGGAATGAAAATATATATACAATTTTCTTTCGCTTTATACAAACACAAACACATTTTATACATTTGTGTTTGTATAAAAGTGAGAGAGGCGAGGGACACTGCCCAGCGAGAACGAGAGTGGCGAGCGAGATTCACCAGGGAGAGAGGTGAAATAGAAACAGTTTGTTATGGGGTACAATTAAATCAAACTATGGAAATTACATTTAATTTGAATTAATAATTTGTTATTATATACAATTTTCCATTAGGAAAACATGAATTGGGCCTTCTAGAAGTTGAGACTTAAAAAATAAATTACTCCCTCCATTTCAAATTAATTGAATTGTTGAGGTGTTTCACACCCTTTAAGAAAAGAAGATTAAGACATAAATTAAGCATAACTTTCCATTTTACCCTTATTAATTATTGTCAAATTTCTGATTAAAATAACTAAACATTAATTAATAACTAATTCCAATACTAACTAATGAAGGGTAAAATTAAAAGAACATTCTAATAATAGTTTTGAAAATTGAGCAATTAAGTTAATTTAAAAAATAAAAAATGTCTCAACAATTCAATTAATATGAAATGGATGGAGTAAAGAAGTGAAATAGGAAGAGGCAAAGTTGAGAAGCACTAATTACAAATGCAAGCAAAGTCGTTCTCTAGAAGAATGCTCCATTATTAGTCAATACCTGATTTGCCAATTGTTTTTAATCAAGTTGACCTAATTAGTACGAAATTAGCAGTACTTTTATATTCAGTTTGTTTTTGAAAGAGTTAAAAAGGGCAAAAACACGTTTAAGCTATTCCACTTTATTGAGTTTCATACATAACTTATTGAGAGTAAAAGTTTTCTACTTGAACTATCATTCAATGATTAGGAAACACACCTAGATGTTGACTAGACCAAATGTTTGTCTAGAAATGCTTCTTGCCGCATCTGTCGATAAAATTTTCATCTACCTAACATATATAATGACTCTCTTTGTTTGGCACGTTAATTTTTTTAATTGGCCTTTTTACAACCTTAAATTCTCACCTTTCAAGTCGAAGAAATCAATGTCACGCCAAAAGAGACCACGGCTAAGAAGGTGGAGAAGATGCTGGTGGATGTCATAGTTAAAATAAATTAAATTAAATTATATGGTAATAGTTTTAACCTTTAACCTAATATTGATTTATTTAAATTTGTCACGGTGAAATTATTTTTTCACATGGAGTGTCACATGATAGTATATTTAAACAAAAAAGAAATTACACACATTATTAGAAATTAATCGAGTTGTGTTTTGCTAACTATTAAGTGATAGTTCAGATAGGAAACTCATACTCAGTAATTCAAGTATAAAACTCAAAAATTTGGATAGTTAAGTGTTTATAACTCTTAAATATTAAAAGGAACAATTCAAACTCAACAGGACGAATACTATATTTGTATACTAATAATGTGTGTGAGTAATTCGGTGGAGGACAAAAAGTAGAAAGTGAGGCAGAAATTAAAAATAATTCGGATATGTAAAGAGTATATGCACAAATGCTTCTTATGCGGAGGTTTGAGTATAGGAGAGGTTGACTATGAATGAACTTAGGAGAGGAGGAGGTAGATCGAAAAAGTATTGGAGAGAGGTAATTATTAGATAGGACAATTTCAATTTATCGAGAACATGACCTTAGATAAGAGGTTGTAAAGTACACAAATTAGAGTGGAAGGTTAGCAGGTAATAGCACGTTGTCTTACTTATCTTTTCATACTAGGAGTCGTACGTAATATTACTTTTGTAGTTTCATGTCCTTTTAATTATGTTAGTATTTGATTTTCTTGTACTTCGATAATGTTATGCTTATGTTTCTTTCTTCTTCTTTTTTTTAAGAATATTTTGACATGCTTTCTATAATATTTTACCATGAATTCTTCATTTTTCTTGATTTACTTTAAAATATATTTTTTTGAGACAAGGGTCTATCAAAAATAGTTTCTCTATCTTTCAAGGTAAGGTTTAAGTATGTTACAAGACAACAACTAATGCAAGCAATAATAACTAAAAGAAAGAAACTCAAGTTCCTATTAAAAATAGATTTTTCATGTTTAGTTGATCAAAATGTGATATTTTCTCTTTAAAAACAAGTTTAGGAAAGTATTTATAACTAATGCATGACAAACAATAGTATTAGGAATGCAAAGATTTTTTGATGCATGCATTAACATAGTTAAAGACACAATTGTTTCTTAAAACTTTTTTCACTTTCTTTTCACCTTATTTTTGGAGTGTATTTTTTATAAATGAATTAGAGTATTTAAAAATTATGCAATACATATATTTTTAATTAATATACCAAAACAAATGGTGTATCAAAAATATTCTTTTCATAACTAATACCAATATTACTAATGTCAACATTACTAGTTCTTATTCAACAATATTTTTATACATCCTACCAAACGACTTCGAAATATTTTATTAAATAACACATATAAATACTTTTGAATAATAATTTTTATTTACTTATCAAACACTAAATAATTATTATTATTTCCCTAGAAAAGTTTTTAGAAAACATTTTCATTTGTACCAATCACACTTTTTTCCCCCACTAGATATCACCCATATTAAAGTCAAACTATTTTAACTTCGTACCACGACATAAGACCCCATTAAAAGAAGAGTAAATTTCAGAAATAACAACGATAATAAACATAACACGACTCTATAAAAATAATTTCAGTAATTGTACTCTGTAACTATAGTTTTGTTTGCTATGTACGCTGCAGTTTGTATATTTCACTTTCCCATTTGTATATGACCAAAATATCCAAATTACGTTCATTAATAGCAAAATATTAAATAAGTAAATTCAAGACTTTTCCAAGTTTGAAAGCAAAGATTTGTTCTGAGCACAAAGTCTAGTCATTTATAAAAAAGTATTCAATATAAAACTAGAAAAAATATAAAAAATAAATAAAAATCAAACACCTTCCTAGTTACTTCCATTAGAACTCTTAATTGTGTTTCTAGTAATGTATACTTTGGTTTCCACGTATACGCCTAAGATTCTTCTTTTACTTTTTTCCTCCAATCTTCGATATATATATTAAATGATTAAATTTTGATTTATGTAGAAAAATTCAACCATAGTGTGTAAAACCAAGTCAACAAAAACATTTCGTACTCAGGGTTCAAATTAAATTATTAATTTTTGAAGGAGTTAGTATTTTCATACTCAAAAAACTCGAACTCAAAAATTTATTTTTTCTGAATGAGTCGTGATTTCATACTCAAAACTTGAAAATAGCAATTTCATACTTGGAACTTGAATTGACAATTTTTTTAAGGAGTACTTACGACCGCACTAGTATTTCTTTTCAGCGGTTAAATGCCTAAAATTCCACGTAAAGGAAGCGGTCAACTAACTCCTTCGAATTTGTCATCACCTTTCTTTCCAAAATCTATATAATCTAATCCCCCTTACCCCAATTTTTCAACAAATATTTCAATTTTCTTGATTCAATCATCCCAAATCCCAAGAAAACCAATTCTTGCAACATTTTGGGACTTACCCAAGTTCTTGAATTTGAGTTTTTGCTGAACAAAAAAAACAGAGCACAATTATGGATAAACTTTTAACTTCATTATTTTCATCAATCTTGATTTTAGGTCTATTTTATACTAGTTATGGTCAGAATCAAAATTGCTCAGCTTTTGCATTCAGAAATAACCAGATATTTGCAACTTGTAATGCTCTGCCTCTACTAAACTCTGTTCTTCACTGGAGTTACCATCCAGATAACCATACAGTTGATCTTGCTTACAGACATGGAGGTGTACCAAATACAGATTGGGTAGCTTGGGGTTTAAATATTGATGGAACAAGGATGGTTGGTTCACAATGTTTAGTTGCATTTAGAAATTCTAGTGGAGAAATTCATGCTTATACTTCCCCTGTTTCTAGTTATGGAACTCAGTTAGCAGAGGGGGCTTTGAGTTTCAATGTTCCGAGAATTGGAGCTGAGTATTCGAATAATGAGTTTATTATTTTTGCAACTTTGGAACTTCCTGCTGGAAGGACTAGTTTTAATCAAGCTTGGCAAAATGGTGCTGTTTCTGGTCAGGCTTTGACTGCTCATGTTCAGTCTGGTGATAATATGAGGTCTTTTGGAAGTATTGATTTTGCTAATGGAGAGTTAGGTGGTGGTGGTAGCTCAGTTACTTCTAGACAACGTAGAAGAAATGTGAGTTTTCGCATACCCTTTCTTTATTTCGTTGAAATTTAATTTATATATACTGACAGTAGGTATCGATTAGAGTTGGTTTGGATAACAGGCATCAAGCACTTGCTCGCTGCTCCGGCTGCCTTCTTGGCAGGTGGAGCGCTTGTCATCCTGACTTTTCTCTCTTCTCGGGCGCTCTTATTGCCATACTTATAAGAAATGGGAGTATTGATTTTTACACTACTAGTGTTTTTTAATCTGTTAGGGTTTGTTTGGTACGAGGGATAAAGAGATAATTAATCATGAGATTGATTTTAGGATGAGTTTATTTGCGGGATAACTTGTTTTCCAACCAAATGAACCCTTATAATATCATAACCTAGTTTAATAGACTCGATTGAATTCATGCATAACCTATGATCTCGAAGGTCCAATTGATTCAATCGTAAGTTGAACTCATCAAATTTAAATTGTGGAATTGAATTCTAATTTTAGGTGATGTGATACAACGCGAAAACTACATACAAATTGGGGTCAACTATATGAATCCTTGCTGACCATATTACTCATTTTTGTATACACTACCCCCAACAAAATAATTAGAAGCAACAAGGAATTTGACATGTTTGATATCTTGAAAATTTGACAGGTTCATGGAGTATTGAATGCAGTAAGTTGGGGAGTGTTAATGCCAATGGGAGCAGTATTTGCAAGGTACTTGAAGGTTTTCAAAGCAGCGAATCCAGCGTGGTTTTATATACATGTTGCTTGTCAAACTTCTGCCTATATTGTTGGCATTGCTGGATGGGGAACTGGTCTCAAACTTGGCAGTGATTCTACGGGTATCGAATTCACTACTCACAGGAACATTGGCATCACTCTCTTTTGCCTCGGAACTCTTCAGGTAACCATCTAAACGGCATTAACTATAAATCTTGAATTCACTTATGCAAGCACTTGTACACACATAAAAATACCGGTCCCTTAAATAAAGAGCAACAAAATATCCCCCTTTTTGGCTTAATACATAGGCACCTCCCTCGTACTTGCCCCATTTTTTTTCATTTAGACACCTGAACTAAGGATTATAC